ATAGATAGATAGATAGATAGATAGATAGATAGATAGATAGATAGATAGATAGATGAATAAATAAAATTTTATTTCTCAGAACCACATAATCAAGTAGGTAAAAAATTAGAGTGTGCATCTGGTGAAGGTTACAATGGCCTCCTATTAGGTGTATGCAATTTCATACATAAAGTCATGAAAAACTGCCTAATGACACAATTGCCAGGAAACGCTTCTTTTCTTCTCTGGACCTATTCATAACTTTTCCTGTTTCTAATGATATAAAATCTAGTAGGTTCTCAAATATTAAAAATGACCACAACTACTTGATGGTCTCAAACTCTTTTTTCTTCTATTTTCTAGACTCCCAGCTATCCTGCATTTCCCAGAATCCATTGCATTAGCATTTGTTATGCCACAGATATGGGAACAATAGAATGTGAGTGGAAGTGATAAGTTCCATTTCCTGGCTTGCCCTTAAAACAGAGAACAGGACAGGAGCCCACCACAGAGGGCCTCTGAAAGACTCTACCCTGCAGGGTATCAAAGCAGAGGCTGAGACTCATAGCCAAACTTTGGGCAGAGTACAGGGAATCTTAGGAAAGAAGGGGGAGATAGAAAGACTTGGAGGGAAGAGGAGCTCCACAAGGAGAGCAACAGATCCAAAGAGTCTGGGCACAGGGGTCTTTTCTGAGACTGATACTCCAGCCAAGGACCATTCATGGAGATAACCCCTGCTCAGATGTAGCCCATGGCAGCTCAGTGTCCAAGTGGGTTCCCTAGTAATGGGGACAAAGACTGTCTCTGACATGAACTGTTTGGCCTGCTCTTTGATCACCTCCACCTGAGGAGGGGAGCAGCATTACCAGGCCACAGAGAAAGACAATGCAGCCAGTCCTGATGAGACCTGATATAATAGGATCAGATAGAAGGGGAGAAGGACCTCCCCTATCAGCCTGGGGGAAGGGCATAGGTGGAGAAAAGGGAGGAAGAGTGGGATTGGTAAAAATCCTTCATAGGACTGCCCATGCTCCTTCTCAAGAGAAAGATGACACTATGCCACTTTCCACATCGCCTTTTCAGAATACTGACAAAAGCAACTTAAGGGAGAAAGATTTTATTCTGACTCACACACAGTTCAGAACTCATAGTGCATTGTGGGGACAGTTCCCAGCTGTGCTGTCAGAAATATAAGATAACTGGTCACAGCAGCAGCTGAGAAGCATAGAGCTGAAGCCAGAACTAGGGCCAGGCTATAACCTCCTATCCTACCCTCATGGACCTAGGTCTACCAGCTTAGACCCCATGTCCAAAAGGTTCACAACCATACTAAACAGCACTACCAGCTGGGTAACAACTATTCAAACCATATGAGCCCATGGAGGACCTTTAACGTCAAAACCACAACATGCCGCAAGCCATCTGTTAAAGATGGTCAAACTGCATGATGTGAGCCTGAGAATTCCTGATGGAGCAGAACCGTGTGCAAACCAGTAGCATCAGCCTGACTTTACAGAAGAAGAAGAAGAAGAAGGAGGAGGAGGAGGAGGAGGAGGAGGAGGAGAAAACTTTTTATTGTTCTAAAAACTTCTAAACCACTGAAATTTCTGAATCTGTCGGTTTATCACAGAAATACACCCAAAACCATCCCCAGCCCATGCAGCAGGCACCATCAGTACTAGAACTGCTTCTTACAAGGATGCACATCGGCCTCCCTGAGCTCAGCACACACGGTAGAGTCAGATTCAAAACAAGAAAATGGTACACGCCGTCCCTTCTTTGTCTTTGAGATTTTAGAGCACTACAGAGAATAGACTTACAATCAATATTTTTCCCAGAAAATAATTTTAAAAAAAATGCTTTCCAAGTATGCTAATGATATTACCAGAGTACTCAGAAGGCACCATAAAATTCAAAACCTCTATTTCTCCTCCATTTACCTCTCAACAAAACTGGCAGTAAAGTCAATGCTGCCAGGCCTCTCTGCAGAGATCACAGTTTTTATCTACTGGGGATAATAAAGTTGCCCTGGATGAATGAATGAATGACCATGAATTGCTTCACTTCTGCAGACACACAACAATGGCATCAGGAATGAAACTGGTGTATTTCAGTAGAGTGTCAGGATGCAAAAATCAGCAGTGTTACCACCTGCCAAAAACAAGTTTACAAAGACACTTTTTAGTCCCATTCACAGTAGCTTCGAAAATATTGGTACATAAACTTAAGAAAGGAAGCAAAGGGTCTCTACTGTAAAAACAAAAACAAAAAACTGAAAAAAGTATTAGATAAAAAAGACTTTCATGCTTATGGATTGATTGGCGGAATTAATACCATTAAAATGGCCGTGTTACCAGCAATCTACAGATTCAGTGAAGTTTCAATTGAAATCCCAACAATATTCAACTCAGAACTAAAAAAAAAAAAAAAAAAAAAAAAAAAAACTCCTTAGAAAGAGCAATGAAATATCATAATACCTGAGTTCAAATTATAGACAGAGCCACAGTGACAGAGAATGGAGCTAGCACAAGAGCAGACATGTAAAATAATAAAAACAGAATAGAGGACTCAGAAACAAACCCACACAGCTACTGCAAACTAATTTTTGGCAAATATGTCAAAAGCATGCTTTGTTGGAAAGCTAGCCTTTTAAACAAAACTTGATTTTTATGGGCTTCTGCTAGAAACTAGATTCGTATCTCTCAAGCTACACAGAAGTCAATTCAAAACAGATCAAAGGCTTCAATGAAACACACAGAATTACTAGACAGGACTGGTGGTAAAACACTGGAAGATGTAGGCTTGGGCAAGGCGTTTCTGAAAAGGACTCCAACAATATAGTAAATAACCCCAAGATCTAACAGACAAGATGCACAAAATTAAAGTGCTTCTGCACAATAAAAGAAAAAAAAATCACCAAAGTGAAGAGGCAGCCTACAGAAATGAAAACATTTTTTAAACTACATATTGGACAGAGGATTCATACCTAGGATACATACAGAACTATAATAGTTAATCATCCCTCACCCAAATCACCCAGTTAGCTAATGGGCTAATGAATTGAATGGACAGTTCTCAAAGAGAATAAATGGCCAATAAGTACCTCTATAGCTGTCAAAGAAACAAATTAAGATCTCTCCGAGATTCAAGAGATAAAACAATGGTGCGGGCAGAGAGGAACCCTGATTCACTGCTAATGGGAACGTAACTTTGAATGCCTATTATAGAAATTAGTATAGAATTTTTTTAAAAAACTAGTAGTACTACCATACGGCCCAGCTGTCCCACTCCTAAATAAATGCTCAAAGGACTCTGAGTAGGTACACCACAGGGATATTTGCACATCCATGTTACTTTTGCAATATTTAGCTATTTTTACACCAGCTAGGATGGAACCAACCTAAATGTCCATCAGCAGGTGAATGAAGAAAGACAATGTGTAACATATATCCAATGGCAATTCTATGTATCCATGAAAATAAAACTGGTAACATTTGTAGGAAAATGGTTGGAACTATAAAGCATCAAACTTCATGAAATAAGCCTGGAAGACAAAGAACTCATGTTCTTACAGGCTGAACACATACCCTGAAAACATATACATGCAAGTAACATTATATAGAACGAAAAGTTGTATTTATGTATTTAGAAATACACACACATGCATATATACACATATGTAACACATATATTTTAAAAGGGCATGAATTTGAGAGACAGCAAGCAGATACATCAAAGGACTTGAAGGAGAGGGAGAAACAATGTAATTATATTTTAGTATCAAAACCTTTAAAATATAACAGAAAAAGAAAGGTGACTTGAGAAAAGAAAAATGCATGTATGTGTCTGTGTGTTTACATGTGTGTGTGTATGTGTTTGTGTGTGGGGATGCATGTGTGTGTTTGTTTATATGTATGTGGATCATGAGAAAGGAAGAAGAGCTCTTAAACAAGGTCGGGAACTACAAAGAGCAGTGAAATATAGGTGATAAGAAATTGGGGTGGGGACACTAACAAGGGGAAGGGAACAAGCCAATAGGAGGAAGAGGGCAAAGGAGAAGTGAATTAATAAGAAAAGAAAGTATAATAACATATGACCATTCCACAGTGAAATCCATCATTTTGTAGGCTAACTTGAAACTTAGAAAGAAAGAAAGACAAAGGAAAGTCCACAGTAAGTGGCTACACCTGGAGGAACACAGGTTTCCAGCATTACTCCAGCTCTGGTGCATAACTTTGGCTAAGTCGGTCACTTCTCTCAGTTTTTATTGCATGCGGCATCTATAAAACAGGTCTCCCGAAGCCTGACTCACTGAAGTGAAGAGGACACAGGAAATGAAGGCTGTGTGGGTAGAGAACTGAGACTCAAAAGTTGTCCTCTGGCCTTCACGGGCACAAACATGAGAACACACACAGAGCCATAAGTAAAAGGAAATTTCAAAGAGGGGGAGAGAAGAGAGGGAGGATGGAAGAGGAGAAAGAGTAAGAAATGGAAAGGGAAGAGATGACATTATTTCTGAATTGAAATTAAAAATCTCTCAGCAGCATTAATAATTCCTTTAAAATAGTGACATACAGAAACTGTGTACAAGATAGGGAATAAGGTTTATTTGATGCAGTTGCCATAGAAACAGAGAACCTGGAGCTATCTTGAGTCAGTGGCTCACCATAGTGTGGGATGATGCTCCAGGCCATGGCAGATGCGTAGATGCCCCCGGTCATCCAGAAGATGCCCAGCCAGCTAAGATGTTCACCTCGTTTCTCTCGTGATAAGAACTCAGAAAAGTAGGCAAAAACAATAGGCAAGGAGCCCCCAATACTGAAAAGAGAAAATACCAGAAAGAAACCATCAAGTAATATACCAAAAAGAGGTCATAGCTAAAATCAAATTGCCTTCTACTGTATCTTTAGACTCTTTAGGGAAAACCTCATTAATTTAAGAGACCAACAAAGAGGCTTCCCCTACATTTGGAAAGCAATCTTGGGTTGTTTTGACTTTTAAAAAATTATCACATTTATTTGGTTTCATATTTTTATTATTATATGTATGCATACACACATGCATGGGCTTTAGATAGCAACTTATGGGAGTTCTCAACTGCCACCATGTACATTTTGGGTATTTAATTGGGGGTAAACACGTCTACCCACTGAGCCATCTTGTCTACCCTTAACCTTACCATAGTATTGTTAAAATCAAACAAAAGACATTCAGTCCAAACATTTCGTGAGGTATCATATGGAGGGCCAGAGGAGAGAGGCTTATAGTGGAGGAGAAGCAGTGCATACCCTATGCCTGAGATGAGTCTGCAGAAGAGGAAGGCTCCATATCCCTGCACGAAGGAGGAGAGGGAGGCAAAGGAGGCATTGATGGCCAACGACATGCTGAGGACTTTCTTCCTTCCCAGTTTATCAGCCAGGCCCCCCAGGATGAAGGCTCCTGCCATCATTCCTAGGTAGACTATCAGCCCTATGAAAAAGAAAAAGACAGAAGGGTAAAGAGAGAAGATAAGACAAGACACTAGAGAACATTAATTACCTTCTACTCCAGCCTCAGGCTCTATAGTGAAATAACCCAAGACCCATAATCATTGGTCACCCAATGCTCGTTTTCCCATCCCAGAAATCCCACGTTGATCATATTTAAAAAAAGGGAATGGAACAAGATGCCCACAGCAAATCGGAAACTATCCAAAGGTGATTTTCTACATACATTATTGAAACAAAATAATAAGCTCACCAGCTTTACTTGCATACACATCAACACAGATCAACTGTAATTAGGACTATCATGTCATTCTAGAGACTATGGTTTTAGCATCACAATCCATACATGAGGAAATGCTGTCATTTTGCATTTAAATAAGAAAAGTGTATATCAAAGACCCTCATATAAGATGTGATATGCAAAGAGAGAATTTCCGGGGTAAATTGTATGGAAAAATTGCAAAAGGAAAAAATAATGTAAATAATAAACAGCAATTGACAATAGCATCAACTGACTTACACACCCATGAACAACATTTTTCAAGCCACAATGTTTAAACTTCTTTGGGAAATATAGTTATATAATTTATAACAATGCTACAAGTCCAATTTCACTCTTCTGCATGTTAGTACACAATGTTTCCCACACTGTTCATTCAAGAAGATCGTCTTTCTTCAGTTGCATTTTATTGGCATCTTTCTCAAAGACCAACCCACCATGGGGCTAGAGAGATGCCTCCACACTGACCTTCTGGAGGACCTGGGTCTATTCCTAGTACCACCTAGCAGCTCAAAACCATCTGTAACCCAGTTCCAGGAGACCCAACACCCTTTTCTGACTACCTCAGGCACCAGGCCTACACACATACATTCAGGCAAAATACCCATACATGTTAAATATATATTTATTCATATGTAAATATAAATATATATATACATTAAATATATATATTTAAAAGACCAATCATCAAAAAATTGTTGGTATATTTCTAGGCCATGATTCTCTTCCATTTGTTCTTTATTTCTGCCTCACTAAGATTCTGTTTCAATCTTTATAGTTTTGAAACATATATGAAGTTGAATAGTGTGATGCCATCAACTTTGTTCTTCAATCTCAAGATTTCTTTGGTTAGCCAGTGTCTTGTGCTCCATACAAATTTTACATTTTTTTCTAACACTTGGGAAAATGCCATTGGAATTTTGAGAAGGATTGCTTAATGGATCATTTTAGGTAAGAGCATTTTAACAGTATCAGCTCTTCCAATCTATGAACAAGAAATAGCCTCCCATTTATTTGTATAGTCTTCAATGATCATCTTCACAGTGTTTTATAGTTCATAGTATATGATTCTTTTATTTCCTTGCTTAAATGTATTCTGAACTATTTGTTGGTGCTATCGCAAATGGCGTTGGTTTTCTTTTCTATTTTTTTCAGATAGCTCATTTATCATATATAGAAGAAAAAAAACCCACTGATTTCTGCATGTATATTCCCCATGCTACAATTTAACTGAATTTGTTTATTAATTCTAATAGGTTATTTTTATGGTATGTAGGGTTTTTTGGCTACGGATCATACTGTCTGCAAACAGTCACTTTGGTTTCTTATTTACTAATTTAGATGGCTTTGATTTCCTCTTCTTCCCTGAACACTGACTAGGATATTTTAGTACTAAGTGAAAACAACGGAGCATCCTGACCTTGCTCCTAACCTCACTAGAAAAAAAATTCTACTGTTAAGCAGGGTACTAGCTCTGGGCAACCCTTAATATGGCGATGTCCACTCTTTCTTCACCAGATTTACTGTAAGTTTTTAATCCTTGTGCTGGATAGCTTTATGTCAGCTTGACACAAACTATCTAGAGAGAGAAGGAAGCCCCAGTTAAGAAAATGCCTCTACAAGATTGGGCTGTAAGCTTACACACCTGTAAGAGTATTTTCTTAGTTAGTGATTGACATGGGAATGTCCAGATCATTGCTGCTACACTGGACTGGTGGTCTTGGTTTCTATTTAAAAAACAAGCTGAGCAAATCACTGGGAGCAAGTTAGTAATCAGCACCCCTCCATGGCCTGTGCATCAGCTCCTGCCTCCAAGTTTCCACTCTGTTTGAGTTCCTGTCCTGACATCCTCCAGTGATGGATTATGGTTATGGACACAAAAGCCAAACAAACTCTTTCCTGCTCAAGTTGCTTTCAGTGATGGTGTTTCATCGGAGTCACAGGAACCCCAAGACGTACATATTAAACTGTCTTTGCATCACAGAAAAAAAAAATAAACAACTTCAATTGATCATGTTGTATTATCTTCCAATTTTGCTTTCATATTTGTTTTAGTGATATTTTGTTGAGGATTTTTCTATCATGGCTTTGCAAGGATATCGGCCTATAACCATATTTTCTCGAGTTTTCTTTGTCTGGCTATAACAGGCCCCCAGACCTTAGCACAACTGTTTCTGTGATAGAAGCACCATTCAGACCTTGAGATCCAGCACATAGACAGACCACCTGTTAAAACAGGAACAAAGACAACGTCACTGATCCCAGGATGTGTGGGAAAGTCCCTAACTCTACTAACCTTGCTTTTTGGCTTCTCTTGTTTTGCTTCTTGCTAACGGTTCTTCTAGCTGAAGTGGGGTTTTTGTTTTGTTTTGTTTTGTTTTTTGTTTGTTTGTTTGTTTGTTTGTTTTTGCACAAAACACCAAGAGCTGTAAAGCTCAGGGTTGCATGATTTGGGCTAGTTCCTCCAATGCAGCTGCCAGTTAGGAAATAGAGTTTCTTCTCAGCATTGAGAGTATTTGTGCAGTGGTCTCTGGGAGCTTTACCGTGCAGCATGGCTTTGGTATCACAATGTTGCCGACTTTTTAAATGTGAGTTTAGAGATGGTTAAAATTTAGGGGAAGAATTTACAGAAGATTGCCATTAATTTTGCTTGGTAGGGCTCACCAGTAAAGACATCAAGTCTTAGGTTTTGTTGTGCTGACAAGTGCCTGATTACAGATTCAATCTCTACTGATTTTTAGTCTCTTCTGATTTCCTGTTTCTTGTGATTTGGTCATAGCACTATATTTCTATGGGTTTATATCTTCTTGGTCATTTAGTGACACATACTCGATCACAGCAGACTGTTATTATCTTTTATATTTCTGTAGCATTAGTTGAAATGTTCCCTCTTCCATTTCTGATTATGAGTCTGCTCTGTTTTTTTCTTAGGTCAGCCAAAAGTTTATCAGTTTTGTCTATCTTTGTAAAAAAAATATAAAGAGCCTACAACTATTACACTTTACTGCTCCTTGTAGACAAATATTGGCTAGATTTCTTGTCTCTATATTAGTTCATTCTTCTTCATTACTCATCTCCAGGACAGCCTGCTAAATGGAGAATATCCCTTCATTCCAAAGTGATAAACAATAAAATATATGATCATCACCAAGTGAGAAAATTCAGAAAATGTATGTATCAAGTATTATTAAAACACAAAAAAAGGAATCTCACACAGTGTGGAAAAGCTTCTGCTCTTCTTGAGGTGGGCATTAAAGACTGTGCCTGGGGCTAGGGAAATGGCTCAGTGAGTAAAATGCTTTTCATACAAGCATAAGTATATGCTTAAGTGGACATACCCAAAACTCACATAAAAGCACAGATGGAAGACAGACAGAAGGATGCCAGAAGCTCACAGGCCAGCTAGCCTACCATGGGTAGTGGGAAACAAACAAACGAACAAACAAACAAACAAACAAACAAAAGACCCTGTCTCAAGCAAGATGGGAATCTAGTTTGTCCTCTGACCTCCAGATACACAGCATGGCATGCACATGCCTGTATACACATATCTGCACTCACATATCTGAATGCACACATATATACACACCCACACATCCACACACCATACACACACAGGACAATGTCCAGTTACATGTGTAAATCGAGGAAAGCAAAAAGAAAGTCTGGTATGTCTGGGCGACTCCTGACATGTAGTTGAGAGTGAGAAGCGTATAGTTAATGTGGGGATACCTGATGAGGGATGAGGCTAAAGGGTAGGACACAGTCATGAATAGCTCTCTGTCTATGTGTGTGATAGAGGGAGGACCCTGAGTTCCTGTACCTCTAATATGCTCTTAGGTGAGGCTGGCCCTGCTGGTCCTGAAAAAAGACTTTGAATAGCAAAAGGACTGATCTCTTTTATCAACAGTGAGGACAATGGCCTTAGATCCCAGAGATCTCATCCACCTCTTACGTGGTTTTAGAGAAAAGCTCTTGCTTTCTGGGGGTGTCTTAGTTGCCTCATTCATAAACTGGTTGCTGAACTCCAAGCCATTTTCCAACACTTTAAAAAAAAAAAAACACAAATCATGAATTATGAGGTTCTTCCCACTTAGAAGCTTTTCAGGTTAAAAACAAAACTTACATGATGGTTTAGCAGGAAATGAGGCTTGCCAAGACAACCCAAATTCAATCTCCATAATTTATATGGTAGAAGGAGAGAACTGAATTCCCCAAGCTGGCCTCTGACTTCCACATGCTCGCCATGGCACAACACACACACACACTAGATAGATAGATAGATAGATAGATAGATAGATAGATAGATAGATAG